TTTCACTTTTTCCACGTTTTCATCGGTTGTTGATGTGCTGGGGCGTCCGGGGCGCTCGTCATCTGCAACGTCTTCACGGCCATCTTGGAAACGCTTATACCACTCGTAAACTCTTGTTTTACTCATAACAGACTCACCATAGGCCTTTGTTAACATTTCACACACTTTGTAACACTTTATTTCATTTTTTACGCAAAATTTGATACAAATTCTTTGATCCATTTCTTTTAACAAACGAAAATCGCCAAGCTCATAAAAACACGTCTAACCTTAGCGGCTGCCACAGACAAAGTAAGCAATGAATACAGCTGAAAATTTTATTGTACTTCAGGGGCATGTATACCAACATAATAAAAAAAAATTTTGACAATTGGACTCTCCAAACCCGCGAAATTTTAAAATTCCCGTTATTTCCTGAACACACTTCGTATATCCTACCGGTATTGGTGCTTACCATCAGTCCCGCCCAGCCAGCGAGACCGGCTCTACTGGCTGAGAAGTATCTATAATGCTTCCCCCATCTACCGGAGGTATTAGTGACTGCTGTTGGGCGGCAAACGTCCGCAATTTTGGCTCAGTGACCTCCTTTGGAGGTATGAGGTTCTTTTACGTGCCGTAAAGCTACGACACGGGACCCACGGCTTAAAGTCCCTCCCGGAGGACTTGTTCCCTGAATTTTTCCGCCCTTAAAAATTCGACGACCTCTGCCGGGTATTTGAACCCGCGTACTACGAGTCATGAGGTGGGAACGTTACCTCTAGACTGCGGAGGCCGCTATGAAGATATGTAACTTTTATTTGATGCACTTTATGATGTGTCTGTATAGTCAAATACAAGGGAAGGAGTTGAAGAGAGCAGTCTTCTGGGTTGTAACACTGTGTAGTCTGGAGAGAACCCAGAGGAACATATCACCTCCATCTTTAGGGTTCAAGTATAAGCCAAGCAAGAAACCAGCAGAAAGAGGCACCTGTTTCTGTTATTTTCATGCATTGCTTACATTTCAACCCTGAAGATGGAGTGATATGTTCCTCTGAAACATCAGGCTGTCTCAGAAGTACATGGTGTTACAACCCACAAAACCATAATCTTCATAGTCCTTACTGTGAGAACCTCAAATCAAACAAGGGAAAGAATTATTTATATATCTGTCCAATGTAAAGGCCCCATTAAGCAAGGAACTGCACTTCACTTGTTTTGCAAGTCTGTTCAAAGGCTAAATCATACAAAAAGGGATATGCAGGATATTAAAAAGGGTCACAGTGTAAGGGTGCCCACCCCTTTAAACTAATTTGGCCTGATTTGTGTATTGTAATATTTTTACTGTTTATTAGGCATCTGCAGCTTATGCACCGCCCAGTGCAGAAAAGTTGACCATGAACTATTTAAAATCTTAAGTACAGTTTGAGATATTCATTACATTAAAATGGAAGACATTGATTGCCTAATGTTGGAGTAGGAAATGATCTCCCTTATTGTCTGTCTTAAACCTCTGTGGGCGTGTCATACCTTGAGAAGAGGGCTTTATGGAAAGGAGTCTTGTGTGCACCTGGGGGCAAAAGTGGGCCACCCTGTCACTGGGAGACATAAATACAGGGTTCTGACTTGACAGGGACTTGATTATCCAGGTTGGAGGTTGGACTCAAGGCTGACAACCTTGCTCTATAAAAAAAATACTGTTGTGAAATCCAAAGTAGTGGAAATTGGATGGTCTAATTTACAATGGAATAGACAAGTCTGGCAGAATCTTCTAAGGAAGGCTATGGCTCTAAAAGACTGTTTTGCCAATGATGTTGCATTTGAGAAGGTCTTTGGTATGATGATTTTGGTTCCCATCACATGCCGAATGTAAACTCTAGTAACATTCTAATTATGATATAACAATGTATATTACTGTCTGTTGATGACATAAGATCATATATATATTTTAGACAGTGTACAGTAGTCTGCCAATACAGTACAGTAAACCCTCACTAATCTGGGGTAATGGGAGGGAGATCATCCAGATTAAGCAGTAATTTGGATTAGTGAAGGAAAAAAGTAAAAGACAAAAAACTTAGAACACAAATAAATGGAAAATTTAATGACATAAGTAGTGCTGATGAAAATAAATAAAAAAATACCAGTAACTTTGGATATTTGAATCACATACGTGGTGCAATCCAAAAGTTCCCGAAATATATTAATAAAAACTATTACATCTTACCTAGATCCTATTCTGCACCATCACCTTCAAAGTAATCCCCTTGGGAGCGCATACACCGATCCCAGCGTTTCTGCCACTTTTCAAATGCATCCTGGAAGTCTTTCTTTGTTAGGGTGTTTAGTACTGTCTGCGTTTCCGCTTGAATTTCCTCAACTGTATCAAATCTTCGCCCCTTCATCTTGATTTTCATCTCGGGGAAGAGAAAGAAGTCGCATGGAGCTAAGTCTGGCGAGTACGGTGGGTGGGGAACAACTGCCATCTTGTTTTTAGCCAAAAATTCCTGCACAGTGTAAGCCGTATGTGGTCATGCGTTGTCATGATGTAGTACCCAGTCGTGCGTGTGCCACTTCTCTGGATGTTTTCTCCTCATGTCCTCCCTCAAATGCCTTAGAACATCGCGATATAACTCTTTATTGACTGTCTGACCAGGGGGGATGAACTCCTTATGAACAATCCCGTCAATATTAAAAAAAAAACAGATAAACATGGACTTAATGTTGCTCTTGACTTGTCAAGCTTTTTTTGGCCGAAGTGAAGAAGGGCTCTTCCATTGCGACGATTGCTGCTTGCTTTCAGGGTCGTAGCCATAAACCCAACTTTTGTCACCAGTGACAACCTTCAAAGAAAGTTCGGATCCTCTTGAAGCTGTTGCTGAAGTTCCCTGCAGACTTCCAAGCGATGCTGCTTCTGTTCATTTTGCAGCAGTTGTTGCACAAACTTTGCCGCAATCCTCCTCATGTTCAGTTCCTCTGACAAAATTCGTTGACATGTACCATAACTTAGTCCCAAGGTGTTACAGAGGTCTTGGATGGTCAGTCTATGATCTTGCAGAATGAGATCCCTAACTTTTGCGACATTTTCTGGTGTTTTGCCCGTTGATGGTAGTCCCGAACGATCGTCATCATCAGTCCATGTTCGGCCATTTTTAAAACGCTTATACCAGTTGTAAGTTTGTGTCTGGCCTAAACTGTTTTCACCAAATCTTGCTTCAACATTTGGTGCATTTCTGCAGCGGTTTTCCCAAGTTTGAAACAAAACTTTATACAGACACGCTGCTCTCTCAGGTCAGCCATCGCAAAACCGCAAACTCACGGAAACACAACAATGGAAATACATTCACCAACAATAAACCCAGCCACTCAACTCGATGCCGCTTGCCACACTGATTCAAGAAGGATGTGTGAGGAGACACCTAGCGGCATTTCGATGTACTCCTAACCATTGACGTGCAAAATTCAAATTTCGGAAACTTTTGGATTGCCCCGCATATTAAGTGCAGGACACACATACAGGAGCATAGCTGATACAATGAAAATTATGAAAGTAGAGAGAAAGGGAAAGCATCTGAATACATTGGAGAAAAACCATATGTATAAAGTTAGTAGAAACAGATTACAAATGAATGACACACATATTGGTGTCTATAATCCAGTATTCGAAACATTGCAAGAATTAAACACCAGATAGCAACACACACAATAAAGAAGACAGACTCAATCCAAGGTAGCAAACACCTGTAGTCTAGACACAACATGACAGGAAGAGACACCCAGCACCATAAACAAGTATCATCTAGAACATTAGCACATGCTATATGCTATATACAGGATACTAACATAAGATATAATACATGTTACAGATACATAAGTGTGTAGATAGGACTACACATCAACTATTAAAATCACAAAATGGAATTGCAGCAGTTTCCACCAACAGTTTTTAAACCTGATGATGTCCAGTGTCAGTTGAAACATGTACTGCAATGTCCAGAAGCTTTTAAATTAAGTTTAACAGATGCATTATGTGTATGTAAGAAACTTTTAAATAAGTTTTAGAATGTTGCATTGCATGTAAGACAGTGAACCAGTAACATTCGTTTAATAAAAAAAATCACTGTAGAGCCATTATTTAAAAATTATAAACAGGCAGTACATTCATTGATAGAAGACTTAGAAATTGTACTTCTTTTTGAACTTAATAATGCAGGTTTGAAGAAACTGTCAAGTTTTGTCTAAGCAGATTCATCTTGCCTTCATAAATGCCATGTATCTTTTAAAGTATATACTCAGTTGTGAACAGCATTTTTCATTAAAATGTCTGTGTATACCACAGTCCATCAGTAATGCAACAATTGTTCCTGTTTTTTATTCCTCCAATTTCACCATTTAACACAACATTTTTTGGGCATAGATGGCCATCTTCAGGTGTCTTAATGTATCAAAACTGCTGCACTGCTCTCATTTGCACTAAAACCATGCACTGCAGTGATTAAATAAAATCCATTAAAATTTTCTATTAAAATTTATCATTACTTTTGTAAATTTCCATTCCACCACATAAGGGCTGTCGTCCACTTGTTTAGAGGCAGGTGTTTTATTTGAGCAGCCTGTTTTTGTGTTCCTTAACCCATTGTTTTGTTATGTGTGCCCCTTGCTTGTGTGCATTTTTCATATTTCAGTCTGGATTAACTGTAACTGGATTAGAAATGGTTTACTGTATATCTGAATTACAACTGTTTGAATAGGTAGCAGTGACAATGAACAACAACACCGTGGAACTCCACTCCCTGTATATAGCCATAAAAGAAGCTGAGAGCCGATGCCTGCGCAAGATTAGTTCTCAGGGTCACCACTCAGAAGTGAGGACTGTCGCCTTCAGTTCTGATAATTTGGCTATTGTGTCAGCCAGTGCTGAGTCCATCAAAATGTGGAACAGGTGAACTGATTTATACAAAAGTTTCATTTTGATATTGGCATCAGTTTTTAGCCATTATAACTATGTTTCTTCACATACCACATGTTTGGCGAAACACTTAATAGTATGTATTCAGTGTGGCCGCGCCATAGCTCAAGTGGTTAGCCACTGGCTTCCCACCGTGGCGGCCCGGGTTCGATCCCAGGTCTGGTCAAGTGGGATTTGTGCTGGATAAAGTGGCGCTGGGGCAAGTTTTCTCTGAGTACTTCGGTTTCCCATGCCAATCTTCATTCCACCAATTGCTCCACAATCACCCTCACCTATCATCTGGGGCTGGTACAGTAGGCCAGAAGTGGCCACAGTACGAGGGACTTAGTCCCACCCCACTAGCAATAAAAAAAAATGTATTCAGTGTCTGTGAATTGTAAATAGGACAGAAACGTAGAGAATCTGGGCATAGTCTGTTAGTATTTGTGACTGTCATGGCAGTGGCTATGAAGGGTACTGTCTTCTGGGATGAATTGCAGTCTGGTAGAATTTTACTGACATCTCAGAGAAATGCATTGCTTTTATCTTCAGGGTCAAAAAGTAAGTCCAGCAAGTAGAGGACCACTTACTCTTATTTCACTTAGTCTTTGTCCCTGAAGATGGAGGCAGTACATTCCTCTGAAAGGTCAGTAAAGTTCTATTAGACTACAAGGCATCACATCTCAGAGGACAGTGACTACTTTCAGCATAGGCCATTTTCATGATACTGGGATTTCTGTTGAGATTCAGAGAGAGATTAACTCTTTGACTGGCGCGAAGGGTATTTAAATCCCACCCCTGTCCTGGCAGGCCCTTTAAACCTTATGTCGCTAAAATGCATGTAGTTACTTTTTCCTAAACAACTTCAACACAAATTGGTTTTTAAAAACGAAATTTTCAGGAACTAATTAAAATACAATATTTTATGCAATAAATGCCTTTCCATACCTCTTTATTAGTTTTTCTTCGTGTGATAAAAATTGAAACATGAAAGTGTGCAGAGAGCCACACCACAGCATGCACACATGATACTTGTTTCTTTTCTAATCTTGTGCTTATCACTCACGCGACACTTTCTCAGGGCACCATTCTTCTTGTTACTGGGAGGAACATGGACCATTTTGTGAATTTTCAAGCCACCCTCTAGACGATTTACTGGCTCTTTCACTGGTGGTCTTTTCAAGGTCGAGGGCGGAGGCGTGACTGCACTCGAGTCTGACGCAATAGATTCGTCATCCACTTCATTCCTTGACTCTTCTCCCTCTCCACCCTGTTTGTTTGGTTCAGTCATTTTTCTACACAGTCCAATATAAAATCTTTGAATCTGTAATTTCTCTTCTTGTATTTTTCGTTTGTTGTGTTCTTTTTGAATAGAATGAAACTATTCAACCGCAAAGACATGTTTTGTCCATACCATGGGTGTGAAATAGGGGCCTAGTGGACAAATATTCTTCAATTTCAGGGCGTTTGTCGATTCCTGTCATGAACACAATTCCTAAGTATGTCCAGATTTCATCTGATGTGACATAATTGTAATTGTGTTTTCGAGAGTGAGGAGCTAACTCATGTGTGTTGAAGTGCTGGTGAGCATAGCGATTGGTTTCAGTTGTGATGTGATTTACCAAGTCGTCATCCAGAAAAAATTTTAATCCATGAAAAGGGATGCATTTTATGTGTTATATCAATTTTGATCCCGAAACTATTAGCAAATGGAAATATTGGGGGTACAATGTCTCCGTACGTTCATGAGATGGGCGTGTCAGGCACCGCACTCGTGGTAGGTAAATGTTCATGATTACTGTCTTGTGGATCATTGTCTATCACTGTATTATTGTCACTATCAACTTCATCCAATTCAGGAATCATTATTTCATCGCCACTATCATCATCAGAACAAATCTCGTTCACAACATTTTCCAGCTGGTCTGTAGGAACACGAAGACACTTGCTGCAAGAAGCCATGGTGAAACTGAATGAACGTGAAATATTTTCTGACCTTTTCCTTCTCAGAGGGTTCTGACAGTAATATAGACCCCCCACAAAGTTTACAAGGGTTCTTTACAAACATGCACAAAAACTATCATATATATGTCTTTGGTTGATGAGTGCCACGAGAACAAAGAAGGGAAGAGATTGTCAAAGCGTTAAAACACGCTAACGCCAGGGAACGGCTGGCATCGTCCGGGCATTAAAACACGCCTGCGCCAGTCAAAGAGTTAAGGGCAACATAAATTCAAGAAAGGCACGCTCTTATTAAATTCAGAATTATTTGTCTTTTTTATTCTCTTTCACTCTGAGAGAAGATGAAAAACCGATAATTTTTAAAGGTGCTGTGAAGAATATTTTGATCTGCGTTAGTACACTAATTGTCAAAAAACTGATATTTCTTAATGATGCTAACCCAGTATGGTTAGGGTGGTTAAACCAAAGAGATTGAGAAGGACCACACTTAAACATTAATTGGGACACAAGAAATGGACAAAAAGTGAAGTTGATAAATGCCATGATATTGGGCATTTCAGAGGTCATTGCATAACTAGGATATTATAATGAACTGTAACAGATAAAGGAGGCAGAGCCAGTGGCAGCAGCCAAGCTGTCTTAAGGCATGTACTGTCTTCGCTCGCTTGGAAGCTGGGATTGTGGGTTCAAATCCCACACAAGGTATGGATGTTTGATATGTGTATGTGTTTATTCTGTGTTTGTGTTGTCCTGTGTTTAGGTAAAGGCCTTGCAATGAGCTGATCACTCATCCAAGGAGTCCTACTGTCTGTAAAATGATCATGAAACTGAAAATCAGAGGCCAGGGCCCAAGGGGGTTGTAGAGCCAGTTAACAAAAAAAGGAGGCAGAGCCATGCTCACAAGTACCGTGCCATGCCGACATATGGGAAGTATAGCTCCCTCCCCACATTTTTAAGGTCAACACTAGATGGAGGTGATTGGTCAGTCTCACACTTTGACTACTTTACCTCCAGCCAGTGACTGAGCCTGAGGTCTAGTATGGATGTGGTGGAAAAGAGAAAAGTCTCTGTCCCTGTCAGAAGTTTAATCCCAATCATCCATCTTGTAACCAGCCATTATACTGATTGATCTATCATGCCTCATATCAAAACAAATGTTTTGTGGTAAATTGTTTGGGTTCCTTAATAATAGAAGAATACTGAACAGCTGAATGCAATCTATGAACTGCTCTAGCAGTGTCTTGTGTCATGGGACTAATTAAAATCAGACCATATAAAACAGTACAGTTTTCCTTTCCAGGCCGTCATTGGCATGTTTGCGAACAGTTGACACAGGCTATGTTCTCACTGCATGTTTTGTTCCGGGCGACCGTCACATTATGGCTGGGCTGAAGAATGGCCACATGCTTATTGTGGATATTGCATCTGGTGATGTACTGGAGGATATTCCAGCTCATGACAATGAACTGTGGTCCATCTGTCTCATGCCAGATCAGGTATTATGTGTTGTCTCATAACAGCAGGTGGTCTAAAGTTAGAGATAAGTGGGAAAAGTGTTTTAAGAAAAGAAATGATAATTACATCAATAATGTATGGGAGTAGAGAGAATTTGTCTAGTATTGTATTTTCTCTAAGAGACTTACTGTTAAATAAATAGATGTTATACATGAATGGACCAAGTAATATCACAGCACAGTAAAGAACTACAAGGGGTATGTTGAGCTTCTCTGAAATTTGTTTGGAAAGTGGTGGCTGATTGCACTATATACTGTTTGCTTAGCAAATTGAATCATGATTGGAAATTTATCAAACTAATGCTTCAGTACAGCAATTTTACATTGATTCTAGTCTTCGTAGAGCCATATATTTTTTTTGAGACACTGTAAAGAATTTTTATTACTTTTTTTTTCTTCACATGATACCATATTTTGAGTCCCATCTGAGCCTTTTATGAACTGCAAAAAACCACAAATCAGGTGCTAAATCCTGACCACCTTGGAAATTTGTGATTGTGAGCATTTAACAGAGTAAAAGTTGCACTGTAAGACCAAGCAGGTTGGTTTGGCTGTGAAGCTGTAGACTTGTATTTGGGAGGTGCTTTGTTTGAATCTCGCTTAAGACATCATCTACCCTTACTGATGAGTTTCATAGTTCTCATTTCCTCCAGGCAAGTTCTGGAGTAATACCTCACTACCTTCTTCCAAGTCTAATTCATTGTTCATGGGTTGTCCTATCATTTCACAATATATTGTCTGAAATATTAACAGCATAAAAAAATAACTAATAAACACCATATATAAAACTGGGGAGTGGCCCAAGGACTTTACAGAAGTGACAATGATTGCCTTAAAGAAAAAGAAAAAAGCTACAAAACGTAGCGACCATCCCACAATAAGCCTTATTGCACATACAGCAAAGATAATAGCAAAGATACTTAAAAGAAGAATCGAAAGGAAAATAGAGGATATACTTGGAGAGGATCAGTTTGGATTTAGAAGAGGAAAAGGAACCAGGGATGCAGTTGGGATGATGAGAATTATAGCAGAACGAACTTTGGAGATAGATGAAGAACTGTGTGCTTGCTTTATAGACTGGCAGAAGGCATTTGATCGTGTAAATTGGACCAAATTAATGCAGATCCTAAAGGAAACAGGTATCAATTGGCGTGAAAGAAGATTGATTAGTAAATTATACATGGATCAGAAAGTTAGAATGCGACTGGACAGAGGGGAGACAAGAATTGTGAAGATTGGAAGAGGAGTTCGACAAGGATGCTGTTTATCACCAATTTTGTTCAACTTGTACAGCGAATGCCTTACCAAAGAAGCTCTGGATGGGCTTGGAGACTTCAAATTAGGAGGGCAAATTATTCAAACTGTGAAATATGCAGATGACCTTGTGTTAATGGCTAAGGAAGAAACTGTGCTACAGGGTATGATTGATAGACAAATCGAAATTGGAAGGTGCTATGGCATGGAAATGAATGTGGAAAAAACAAAAGTAATGAAAATTTCGAG